TTGACCGGTTGAGTAAAAGAATTTTACGATTACCTTTGAGGAACATTTGGTTACCAAGTAGATAATCCAGTGACTCTATGTTAAATCTGGTCTTCAAAAAAAACTTGTTGTTAATTAGCAACCAAAGACTCTCATATACGGTACATATTTATTTTTACTATGTCGACTTAAGTTACGCCTTTTAAAAACCATTTCACATTGATTCATGGTAGATAACCTACTGCCACACATCAATAGTAAAGTTCTTGTTGCATTTCAAAAATCTATTTCAAACTGCCCGGCAGTATTATTGTTGAATTTTTGTTTCCCATATCCGGCTAGCTTATTTAAAACAGAATTGACAAGCTGATTCGTTTTTCAACTCTATATGAACTGGACACAAACAGCTTCATGAAGTGTTTCTTATAGGTCCCCATCAGGTACCTTGCAAAAGGCAAATCGCACTGTCGAACCCCAGCCACAATCCACTTGTCTATAAGTGCTTCATCTTGGGTCCGGATAATTCTGACTTCACTTGCCGTGTGATTACCTGTAAATCGAAATCTCAGAAATTCAGTGGTAGAAGCGCCGTGATGGCATCAAGTCGAAGCGATTCCCCAGGCCAGACAACCGTTGATGCAAAGGAGTCAAATTTGGGATCGAGTTGGCATGGTATGGTAAAAATAACAGTACCCGCTAAATCCGATGCTCAGCTGAACGTTGACTACAGGTAAAGTGTAGTTATGATTTTGTGGTTTGTTTGTTTTTTGAAACAGGAACACATATATGCTTTTAGAATAGTCGTAATCGTTCTCAATCGGAAAAAGTAATCACATCTTTCATACTGCTTTAAGCATTACTAATACCAGCACTTGAGATAACTAACAGCCAGTTTAGAGCAACAACGTATATGACTGTTAGTTCAATGCACATTCCTATCAGATGAACGCCATCAGGCGTGCATGGGTCACGAACCGAAAATTCATGTGTCGTTAACTGATGAACCTACATATCATTGTGTCCTTTAACGTTTACCGCTAAAAGGGCGGGAACGTTGCCAAATCTATGAGGACCAGTTTAATCAGTTCCGCTGAGCTCGCAGTTTCAACACAATCATACAAATAACAACATGGTTTCTTGTTGAAAGATAGCTTAATCAATCAAAGCACTTCGGATCATAAACCATGCAAGGATCATTCATTCGGCTGAGTAATAATGTGAGTTATCTGGTGTATTGTCATGTAGCTGGCAAGAAGACCTGAAAAGTGTCTTTCTCCCATGAAATTGAGGTACAGAACGTGAATGATGACAAGGATACGTTGCTTAAGTTGAATCGATCAAAGTAATGCTGCAATTTGGTCTTTCTCTAATCCCCGTTTATATCAAACAAACACGATCGCAATGCCTGTGCTGATAGCTTCGAAATAAACAGTTCTATCAGACCATCATATATTTGATTTCTGATGTGACCGTCGAATTTATATTGATGAGAAATATTTGCACCTTTTCGCACTGAAAATTCTTATGATTTGTTTTTTTCTATTTCCGGCACCTCGGTGAACTTACGTTATTGGCTGCCTTTGAACGGAAAAATTCACAAAATACTCACTTGAATCAATGACAAGAAACCGGTCAACCAAGAATACTCTTTGCCGACGAGGTAGGTTGGTGACTAATGGGTTTTCTAAGTAAGTCGTCGTTTTGTGTTAAATTGCTCATCCAATTCCTTTTAGAAATAGTAATTCACTCAGCGTGTTTACGTTGGTTAAGCGGTATTTGTGTTTCCATCCACATTTGCATTTCTCGCCCAGTTATCGTTATGCAACACTGTTTTCGATTGATCTAGTGTCTTAACATTACGTAGATTTTCGTATAAGAACAGGATAGCCGATAGTCCAGCTAAAGCTGTCAGTGCGACATATGTGTAAAATGATACATCCAGACCGTTCCACGCCTATTCTGTTTTTTTTTTTTAAAAAAAGAGTTTGTTTGATGTTGATCTGTCTTGACAATGTTTGTGGGCTCCTTTGTCAAAATAAATGTTCATTCCGAGTTCCTCTTCAAAAAACACACTACAGTCTACGTCCACAATAAAGTATCTCATTTAGCTACCACATTACCACCTATTTCCACTCCGCATGCTTCCTTTACGTTAGCTTGGCTACGAAAGTCATCCTTACACTACAATCCGTTATCATATGAACGCAACGTGAGTGTTGATGGTATCACCATTACGGTCCGGTATAACATAACAAAAGGTAGAAGCCGGTAGAGGTTGATTGTGAAGTGTCACAAGAGGAATGAACAACAGGGAACGACTGGAGACCACATTGACACAACCATCTGCTTCAGTACTTAACTTAAACTACGCGGTCGCAGTAACCGT